GGAACATGTGTGTACAGGTGCACATGCATGTGTGCACACATGCCTATGAAGGCCAGAGGTCAACCCCAGGTGTGGTTCCACAGCTGTTTCCTACTACCTTGGTGCTAGCCAAGCAGACTATCTAGAAATCCCGCTGTCCTTGCTGGCATTCCAAGGACATAGCATCATGCCTGGTTTTATTATGTGGGCTCTGGAGATAGTGAGACTTCGGTCCTCCTGCACAAAAGGTGAGCACTTTACCCACTGAGCCCTCTTCCTAACCCCTCTGCCAGAAATATTCATAAACTAAAAATACTTTCCCTCTCTGAGAAACAGTCTAGAAAATACCATTGGGTATCAAGTTCATGTTTCCTACACAGAGAATTCCCATGCAGAAGTGGGAGGATTGGTCACTTGATAGGATAGAAATGCATCCTGCAGTCACAAAAACAGTGTCCCATGCGGCCTTGATTGCCACTCTTTGTTCTTGTGCATCACTTTCAGCAAGTGATACTGTTCAAAGCACAGGACTGCATTATCATCCTTTGCGCTTCCTGAGAAGCCCATTTTCACCTTCTGTAAATGTGCTGGTGAGCTGTTTGCCTAAAATGTTAGGTTATTTCCTCCCTAATATGCACCTTGATTATGCTTGCACATGTCACTGGAGGGGCCGACATGCTTTTATTTTTTTCCTTTGCCTCCTGTGAGTGAAGGAAGACATACATGTAGGTACAGAGAAATAAGACAAAGCAGGAAGCAAGCAATAGGAAAGTGGTACCTCATCAGTCATGTGGGAAAGGCTATGGCATGGGGGAAGGGATTGCCTAACTGGGTTTAAAAATATTCTCTATGGGTATATTAGGATAGCATCTACTTGAATAGATAGTATGCTGTGTACTACGTACGGTACACAGCATGCAGTTCATGCTCTAGTTCAGTATTCACTAGTGACTATCGTGGAAACTGATGAGGGTGACTTACCTTATTAAGTCTCTATTTATTTATCCAGGGGCTGGGATTACAACACTGACCTCATGACATCACTGTGAGAAATTAATGAGATGCCAGACATGAACGTTTAATAAAGCAGCTGCTAGTTTAGGCTTTCTAAATGACACTTATCACACAAATAAATATTTCTAAGTAGACGAAGCTTCCCAAATTAACACAATGACATTTACTGGCAGATTTCCATGACATTGGAGGTACATAGGTCATTTGTGTAGCAATCCAGATTTGGGAGATCTACAAATGTATTTTGTAACCAATTATATTCATGTCATCATAGATTAGAGGTCTGTTTGTAGGTAGACCAGGTTACCAGGATTTTCTCCTGTAAATGATAAACCCAGCTGTCAGAGATTTTTCCATCTCCTGACTTAAAGTGTGCAGATAAAAACAGTGATTTTCTCTAACTTCGGAACTGTTGGCCCTGTAAGTCTGTTGTGGACTATGGAAGACAGGAACAAAAGTGTTTCTGCTTCTTTGGCTCATCTGGTCACCACCAGCAAATTCCACCTGAAATGCATTATGGCATGGCCTGTTGTTGACGATGACTTTGATCTGTTGTGTGACTTCATTTAGTGCATGCACTTGTGATATGACCTTATTGACAATTCCTTACTCACCTTAGAAAGTGTCCATGAACTGGATGTATGTAGGATTTGAGGAATCAGAGAAAATCCATTAAAACCACTAGTTGAGTAGTTTTCAAAATGCAATTTTCAGATCTTCATCAGACATGTTCTTTGGAATTTGAATTCCTCTGTGTAGGCATTTAAAAATAGCCTTAAAAAAACAACCTCAAAAATAGCAGAAAATTATTTCACACATCTCCACAGTCATTTTATTTTAAATTCTATTCATGCTATAGGTTTGTCTAGAACCATACTGGTTCCTAAAAAATGAACATCTAACATTTGTTACATTGGAAAACACATCTGGGGGTCTTTTGCTACAGGATACAATAATAACCTCCACACAGGCCTAGCATGTGTTCATGTGGAATTCTTTTTCCAGTCAAAAGCAACTTCTCTTTTTGAGTTACAATTGGCAGTTGGATGTTCTTTAATTCTTAACGCGTTAATAAGAAAATACGTAATATGACCTAATGTTTAAAAGATGCTATTACACCAAAAGGAAGCCAAACTATTGTAATAGTATGTGAACACAACCTTGTGTAATAGACAAACTATTGCAGGTTGAAGAGAAAGTGTAAGCAATAGTAAGGTACCTCAACTTCTGCTTGCCAAGTCTGATATTAATAAAGATGCCTAACATTTATTCTTTTCCTCCAGTTTCATGGTGGTGAAGTTTATGATAAAACTAGAAATTCTCTTCAACATCTTCAAAAAAGGAAAACAAATTTCAGTTTTTATTTTCTTGATCAACAATAATTGATGAAGCAATAATTGGATTGGGATCACATGTTACACCAATTTCAGTCCTTTCTTCCTTCCTTCCTTCCTTCCTTCCTTCCTTCCTTCCTACATTCCTTTCTACCTTCCTTCTTTCCTTCATTCCATCCTTCCTTCCTTTGAGGCAAGCTCTCCCTGTGTATCCCTGGCTGGCTGACCTAGAACTTTGTAGAACAGGCTAGCCTTAGATTCAAAGAGATCATCCTCTTGAGAAGTGGGTTTTAAAAACAAGTTCTATTAATCCTTTTCTTTAAAAGATTCAGGTATGCCATTTAAGCAGGGAAACACTGCTTGGGCCAAGGGTTATTTTAAAGGTGCCCTCTGCCCTTGACCCAATTCTGTTCCTAATGTAGTGGAGCTCTTGGGACTGTCTCCTCCTTTACATGTTATATTTTTGCTACACAGAATCATTTCAATGTGATAAATTTAACAGCTTTCTTAAAATAACGACTTTGAATAGTGAAACAATGAGGGAGAGGCTTGTATAGTTTTGGAGAAGGTATTAAGAAGCTTAAACTCAGACATTTGAGACTAAATTAGATATCAGATCTCAGACTAAGACCTATTTCCTAACAACTGTGAGCTTCGAAGTAACTCACATGTTGAGTTGTGAAAGACCCTTTCACCTCCTGAAATAGTCCGTGGTTGGAGATGCCCACCTGTGGCTTCCTATCATAACAACCGACTGGTGGCAAAGCTTGCATTAGATCAGCCTGTAACTTAGTCATTTCTAGCAAATTGACTCCCAGTAATACTTTTGCCAATTTCATGTTCACATTTTATTGTTATCCCAATGTATACTGAGTAACAATTTTAATGTAATTATTTACATAGTAAGTTTTAGTTTAATTGTAAAACTGTGTTTAGTAGTCCTTGGCAACAATTTCATGCCTTTATATTTTACATTCAATAATTTACACCTGTGAGCCAACAGATATTTTCAATAAAAATGATCTTTCACTTTATATCATGGTAGAATTTCTTAAAGCTATTGATAGGTTCATTGACTCAAAAAATTAAGAATTGTCTTAGATACTCATGATGGGTTTGGGCAAAAAGTTGTCATAAAATTTATTTTTACACTCTACATGCTGCTGTTAATTAAATTCTAAGTGGTTGTAAAGAGTGGCCAGGGAATTATTTACATGGTGTCATAACAAGTAGTGCTTGTTGGTAAAACTTGGTGAAGCCCAAAAGAAGACTTTTAGGGAAATATGATTCCAGCCTTTTTGTTAAAACAAATCAACTAAGAAGAAATGAAAATGTTCCTGTGAGTAGGACACTTTACTGAATTATTTACTTTTCTTATTTTCTTTATAGTGCTTCTTGTATCTTGAAGTCCCTTATTGTCACATCTTATGAATTCATGAAAAACTTTACTTTCTCTGTAGTAGCAAGCAGAAACAAAATGAACTCAGATTGTATTTATTGAGCATCCCATATGCGTCATTTTCATGTTCTGGAATCCACATTCATCAGGGAAATGAATTAATGGTGTTGCAGTTTCTATCTTCAGTGAACCTGGTGTATCAGCAGACAGCCACACAAAGAGTTCCCTTGTATGAAGCAGCAGGATGATCTGTTTGCAGCCAGGTTGGGCTACTTAGCAAAACTGTCTCAAGCATCAATCCCCCATCACCAAAGACAACAAAAGCAAAAGCAAATCTGTTATGTGGCCCTTCAGATCTGATTATGCTTTTACAGAAGCAACAATGAGTCTTGGGAAAAAGAGACAAGGCTTAATACCAGATATTGCACTGCATTTGATGAAGTCATTAGCGAAAGTTGGGAGTCAGGAAATAAAGTGAGAAACAAATTAAAAAGAACAAAAGTGTGTGTGTGTGTGTGTGTGTGTGTGTGTGTGTGTGTGTGTTGATTCCATCTAAATAGAGGCCACAGTTTATGCACAAGCATGGAGTTTTCAAAGTTTATGATATATGCAGGAAAGTCAATGTGACACAATTTGTCCTTTTTTTTTTTTTTACCCAATAGGAAAGAGAGATGAGACCAAGAAGGGAAATAAAAAAGCATTTAATTTAAAAATATTAATTTCAGCAATTAATGTAAATAGGAAGAATCTGAATAAAGAGGAAGACAACCAGTAACAGGATGCAGTAGGAACTGTTAACAATTAGTCCCTTTTGCTGATATGTGTTTTGCATGTTTAAGGTGAAACTCAGTCAGGTGCTAGGGAAGTTCTCTACCACTGGGCTATATTTCCAGAGCTTGGTCCTCATTAGTGACTGGGAGTAAAGACTAAGATTTATTGAGCACATGCTATGTAACAAGTACTGAGCTAAATGCTTTCTTTATTAACTCACTGGCTCCTCACTCATTAAATGGACATGATTGCTATATCTACTCTATGAAATGCCAATTGAGGATCAGAGTGATGAAGAAAGTTGCCTGAGGTGGTGTATTTATATTTAAATCCCTGATGCATCATTTGACCTTAGCATGTGTCATCCCTGAATCCCACACTCTCCCCTCTGACTCATGAGCTTAATCACTATGACTCTACATGTTCTCCACTCAGAATTCATATAGCTATGAAGATGCTGTAAGGAAACAAATCATGATGGGCACAAATGCATAACAGCCATAGCCTTTTACCTACAAGAATTTGCATGTACTGGTTTAAGGAAAGCCCGTCACCGTAATCACAAAGTGGTCTGGCAAGACTGTTCTGCCTTAAGGTCCTGGTCTGAAAGGAGTAAAAGCATCAGACTTTAATATATCTACTAGGTAGAAGACTGCTTTGGGTGAAAGCTATGTTTTTCTGTTCTCATAACAACAGAACACTCAACAACATGCAACTTAAGGGAAGATGGGCTTGTTTGGACTCAGTATCATGTCACAGAAGAACTGGCAGCATATCAACATGCTCTCTCTGTGTGTTGTAGCTTGCTAACATCTCAGCAGACTGAGAAGCAGAGACTTTGGGTAGAGCCAGCACCCTGCATCCCATAGGCCTGTCCAATGCCCACTGTTGGGGCCTCACAGCCTACCAAGGTGGGTACCAGGTAGGTACCTTGGGCCAATCTAAAGACAGGAACAAATGAGTGGATTTCACATTGGGATTGAGAGTAATTATGTGATGAGGAGCCTTTGGGAGGGTGGAGGATGCATACACAAGTCCACATGTGTTCATCCTTACGGCATTTCCAGTTTCCTTCTCTTGAGCTCACTCATTAAATAGACATGATTGCAAGCTTGTGTTTGATTTCACTGCTCTTCTCTTTCTTGTCCATCTCTTACTCATTTTGTCTTGTTAAAGCAGTATATATTAATAAGAACATAGTTGTTCAGCTCCATATTTAGGAGGGGTATATTTTACCAGGAGAGTCACATTTAGGGCTTTCCAGCTGCTGGGAGCTGCCTGGGAATGAAACAGAGGAGAGTGGATTGTTCTCTGCCAATTGGAAACCAAAACCCTGGAGTCAGGAAGGCTGACTTGATGGTAACTTCCCTTAGTTGCAAGAATATTTCTTTTAAGTTTAGGCATGAAGTTCAGTAAATCTCATTTTGGTCAGGAAGGCCAATATCACATAATCTGAGAGTCAGGTTTGGTAGTGTTGGAGATCAGTGTACTCCAGTGTTCAAATGAAGCCTGGATAGGAAAATTCTATAAAATTTTAGAGCCTAAAACCTCCAAAGTGCCAGCAAGGGGCAGTTGTTAGCAATGACAGTCTATGTCTGTGTGGTTCACAGTGGATGGTGGGGGAGGGCAAGGTAAAGCATGGGAATAGCCCAGAAATTAGAGACAAATAACAAAAATGAAACCATAGATAGAAGTCATAGTAGGTTCTTGGACATCTGGCAAGAGTTCATGGCAGTCAACAGGGAGGAGGAAAAGCAGCATTTGCAATTCTAAAAGAGAAATTTCAGGTCACATGAAGAACACAGGAGGACAGCTATGCTGTCTATACAAAGCAATGGTACGGATATACACCCTGTGTCTTCTTAAACATTAAGTTGAAGATGAATTGTAACTTTCCCCCAGATTCCTGGTGGTCCAAACAGAAAAGTTAAACAGAATAATTTACAAGATTTTTGCTATTTATAGAGGAAACACACCCAGATGTCAAATGTTAAAATCACTTTTCATCACAGTTCAAACTTAAACAAAGCAGGGAGCGGACAGACATAGCTGAGAGGGAAATGCATAGGGTACTTGTGATGCTATTGTTTGGCATGTTAGAAAGAGTTTTTATTTCTCTGGGGTTGAAAAGAATACTATAACTACCAATATTCTAATAAATTTACTTTTAAAATCCTAGAAAATGTTTAAAACCTTAATACAAATTGTACTCTTTGTATACAAAGTCAAGCTCAATTTTACTAGACTGACATTTTGGTTATGGTACGGAATCATCACAATAAAAAATATACCATAGATAATAGATTTATGGCCATATGGCTTCTATTTGTTAGTCTTTGTGCACTGAACAAGCACAGAACAGATAAAGAAAATAGACATTTGACAGAGGGGAATTCTTTTCCTATTGCCTATCACATTCTGAAATAATATATACGTAATTTCTCCCCTTTCTTAGTTCAGTAGGTTTATTTTCTTAGAATCCATTCTGAGTTAATTTGAAAGAACTAACTCTGATTGAGCACCACATTGGAAATGGCTCAACATACAGCCATAATTAAAATAATGAGAATATCTAACATAGAAGAAATTCAAACCTGAAAATTCAAGACACTCCCAACAGTGATACCATTGTAGTCTCCATCTCTGAGAGGGTAGGTAACCACTGTTGTTTAATATGATTAAGTGATCTAGTTGCAGCACACATTTAGGAAGTTGCAACCAGGCAAAGACTTCATTTTCTAGTTCATATAGCATGGGATAGTGTGAGATCCTAAAACATGGTCCTTGTTTCATTTGGACCTAATGTTGGTGATTGTCATTATGCTGTTTCTCTTCATAGAGTACTTTTACAAAGTACTCTTACTTTTACAAAGTACTTTTACAAAGTAAAATGTATACCTTTTTGTCTTGTATAATATATTATCATATGGATAGTCATTGTAAGGTTTCAGGACATTGAAGAGCAAAAGTGCTTTTCTTCTGACATATAATAGAGAGTTGATAGTACAATTAGCCCAGATTAGGTTAGGGTTAGGGTTGTGCTAACTTGCTTCATCTCATGGAGTAATCCCAGAGGGATTTTTGTGGGGGAAAGTGTGTTTTTAAGGAAACCAATGAAATGATATATTTCTGAATATATACACTGAACATATATTATTCAGTGTATCTTACCTTCATAAAAGTCAATATGTTGCAATACCAATGTAGCAATTGCTCTTTTGTTACTTGCTCCTGTACAGTTCATTTGGGACTTCAGATCTTGTGACAAGCTATCAAGAAAGGAGGCCAGATGTGCTGCCTAAGCCATTGATTTTTATCCTTGCTAAATTCAGGTAAATTGACATCCTTGAAACCATTCACACTATGCTAAGCTAGTTTTAAAAGGCAAAGCTGTCTGGATTTTTTGATTAGGAGAATTTACTTTTATGTACAAGAATAGTGGCCAGAAAGGTGAGCCATATTCCAGCTGCTGAGAACATCATGAGGACACCATGGAGCTTCCCAGGAATGGCTTTTCTACACTAGAAGAAACCCTTTCATGTGAACTCGTCTGCAACCATAAGGATTCATCTGCATACACAGATTCATGATATTTATCTTCTGTTATTTAAAAAAGACATGCATTCTTTTTATTTAAATTAGAAACAAGATTGTTTTATATGTCAATCTCAGTTCCCCCTCCCTCCCCTCCTCCCCTGCCCCGCACTGGCCCCCTATCCCAAACCCTTTCTGCTCTCCAGGGAGATGAGGCCTTCCATGGGGGATCTTCAGAGACTATCATATCATTTGGAGCAGGGCCTAGACCAGCCTTTGTGTGTCTAGGCTGGGAGAGTATCCCTCTATGTGGAGAGGGCTTCCAAAGTTCATTTGTGTACTAGGGGTAAATACTGATCCACTACCAGTGGCCCCATAGATTGTCCAGACCTCCAAACTGACTTCCTCCTTCAGGGGGTCTGGAACAGTCCTATGCTGGTTTTCCAGCTATCAGTCTGGGGTCCATGAGCAACCCCTTGTTCAGATCAGCTGTTTCTGTGGGTTTTTCCAGCTTGGTCTTGACACCTTTGTTCATCTATTCTCCCTCTCTGAAACTGGATTCCAGAGTTTAGCTCAGTATTTAGCTGTGGGTGTCTGCTTCTGCTTCCATCAGCTACTGGATGAAGGCAGTAGGATGGCATATAAGGTAGTCACCAATCTCATTATCAGAGAAGAGCATTTAAGGTAGCCTCTTGACTATTGCTTAGATTGTTAGTTGGGGTCAACCTTGTAGATCTCTGGACATTTCCCTAGTGCCAGAATTCTCTTTAAACCTATAATGGTTCCCTCTATGATGGTATCTTTTTTTCTTGCTCTCCTCTACTCTTCCCTTGACTAGATCTTCCTGTTCCCTCATGTTCTCCTCTCCCCTAATTTTCTCCCCTTCTCTTGTAACTCCCTCTCCTCTCTCTCCATGCTCCCCATTATCTTAGGAGATCTTGTCCCTTTCCCCTTCTCCAGGGGACCATGTATGTCTCTTTTAGGGTCCTCCTTGTTTTCTAGCTTCTCTGGCGGTGTGGATTGTAGGCTGCTACCTTTTTTGCTCTAGATCTAAAATCCATATATGAGTGAATGCATACCATTTTTGTCTTTTTGTGATTGGGTTACTCAGAGACTTCAACACCTCACTCTCACCACTAGACAGGAACAGCAGACAGAAACTTAACAAAGAAACAAAGGAACTAATGGCCCAATTGGGTTTAACAGACATCTATAGAACACTGCATCCAAACACAAAAGAATATACCTTCTTCTCAGCACCACATGGAACATTCTCTAAAATTGACCACATACTTGACAACATAGAAAACCTCAACAGGTACAAAAAATTAAATTAACCCTCTGTATCTCATCAGAATACCATGCTTGAAAGTTAGAATTCAGCAACAACACAAATAGCAGAAACCCTACAAACTCATGGAAATTGAATAATGCCCAATTGCACCATTCCTGGGTCAAGGAAGAAATAAAAAAGAGATTAAAGATTTCTTAGAATTCAATGAGAATGAGGACACAACATACCCAAACTTATGGGACAGTTTGAAAACAGTGCTAAGAGGAAAGTTCATAGCACTAAGTGCCCACATGAAGAAACTGGAGAATAGTCACACTAGAGAATTAATAGCACAACTGAAAGCTCTAGAACCCAAAGAAGACAATGCACCCTGGAGGAGTAGATGCCAGGAAATAATCAAATTGAGGGCTGAAATAAATAAAGTAGAAACGAGGAAAACAATACAAAGAATCAATGTAATGAAGAGTTGGTTCTTTGAGAAAATCAACAAGATAGACATGCATTCTTAATATTGCCAGCAAAAGGCACATTTAGAGATGTGAAAGAGTAAGGTGTTTTCTTTGGGTGACAACTCAGCGTAACTGTCATTATTTTGTAGTGATAGAGTACATGAAAGGCTGCCTCCAAACAAGGCATATTGATAGATTGGCTATTTTCAACAAAAGGAAATGGAGAAATTGTCATTGCCCAGGAGGCCTACTCTCCAGCCTTCTCTTAGCTTTCTCTCCTGAAAACATGCTAAGTGTTCTGTGATGTATTTCACTTGGTTGCAATACCTTCAGTTCACAGGGGTACCATCCTGTTTCTGATGATGGAAAACAAACTGGACAAATCAGCCCTGCTAAGTTCCTCCAGGTTACTAGGGTTTGGATGTATACCCTGCTTATCTAGTCATACTTCTACAGTACTCTTTCCCATCAAACAGGAGCATAAAAATACAGTGTTTCCAGAGCACATATTTCCCAGCCCTTCTCTGTCTTAGCAAATCAACTCATTATGCTTTCTCCTGCTAATCTGCCAGCCTTGAATAAGACAAGGGTAAGAACATGACATTATTTTTCTTCTCTATAGTAGGTTTTCAACCTTGGGTTGTTTTTCTTTCTTTTAAACTCATAAAACAATACACATAATTTGCTCTCAAGATATATTTATGGGAAATCAAGATTGACCATTAGCCTGAACTATTTATCATGACAGATTTTATACATTTGTAAACAAAACTTTGATTTTTCTATGAGTGCTTCTTAGAACACAACATTAGGGGCTGGAGAGATGGCTCAGAGGTTAAGAGCACTGACTGCTCTTCCAGAGGTCCTGAGTTCAATTCCCAGCAACCACATCATGGCTCACAACCATCCATTATGAAATCTGGTGCCCTCTTCTGGTGTGCAGATATACATGGAAGCAGAATGTTGTATACATAATAAATAAATAAAATGTTTTTTTAAAAAAGAACATGACATTAATAGGATATCCTGCGAGTTTGTAGAGGCAGAAGGAACTTTCCCTGTGTTTTTGTTTCTGCTTTAGTCTTACTATGACTGTGAATCACATTATTAATTTGTCCTTATTTTTACAAACTAGTTTTCTGGATACTTGTTTAACTTGGAGACTAAACTGAATGATTACGAGGATAGCTTTTTTTTTCTCCAAGAAACATTGTTTTCACGTATGTTTCAAAGGTGCCCAGGAAGAGAAGTTTCGGGCTCCAATGAAACCTTACAACACCCTTACAACTTTTCTGCATTCTTTGCTAACCTCACCAGGCAATAAAATTCTTCTTGGTTTAACTACTTGTATGTGCAAAGTACATGATAATCAAATTATTTCCTTTCTTCTTGTACTGAGAAGACATAACCCTGAAAAATATATCATTCACCCCTTGCTTTGAGGTGAATGGCATTCTGTATGCAAAGATTAAAGGTGAAACATCAGGTTAGAACTAAAAGACATTGAAGATGCCTATCTCTTCACATTATTTGTCCTTCCTTCCTTCCTTCCTTCCTTCCTTCCTTCCTTCCTTCCTTCCTTCGTTCCTTCCTATCATTCACTCATACACACAACATGCATTATTTGCAGTGCCAGGGATTGAACCTATTGCCTTAGGCAGGCTAAATGAGCATTGTTATTAAGCTACACTTCCAGGTTTTCTCATTTACTATAATCATCACTAATTTAGGTTCTAATCCACTGATCCTAACAGTAGTGAGAAACACTTCAAACTACCCAGTGTGTCCTAATGTACTTGAAGAAGAAAGTCCTTTGCGATTTTCTGCTTCTGGCAGACAGTTAAATGTAGGCATGTGATTCACCAGAAAGATCACAGAATTCTACTTATTATCTGAAGTCTCGAGTGGATAGTAAAAGACACCACATATTTGAAATGGCAGGGTATCGATTCTTGCTAGTGAAATGTTAGACGTCATAATTAAAATACATTTTTAAAAAATCGATTCCTGCCAGGTGTGGTGGCACACGCCTTTAATCCCAGCACTCAAGAGACAGAGGCAGGTGAATCTCTGTGAGTTTGAAAACAGCCTGAACTGCAAAGTGAGTTCCAGGACAGCTAGGGCTACATAGAGAGACCCTGTCTTGTAAACAAAACAAAACAAAAGAACAAAACAAAAAAACAACAACAGTTACTACTACTATTACTACTACTACTACTACTAATTTACCCCATATTGTATTTCTAGATTCAATGATCCAATGTAACACATTCTCATATTTCTTTATTTAACTTTGCTTTTCATCTAGAACCAAAGAAACAACTTCTTTGGAGATGATGTTTTGCCCTCCCAAATGTGAAGACCTAGCAGTCATGTTGGTACGTGCTTGCACCCCCAGCATTTGGGTAGTAGAGTCAAGAAGATAGGAAGGTGAGTCCAAGGTCAGCTTTAGCTACCTAGTGCAATTTTGTCTGAAAAAAGTAGAAAGTTAAAGTTCTCTAGAAACCTTCACAAACTGTAGGTTGTGCAATGTACAATATTTCTTTCCAATTTTAGTAGTGTCAACTACAGTATATGCAGATATGCAGTTCTTTCCAATCATAAACACCACACTAAAATATATGAAGAATGCATACCAAATGTGGTCAATTAACTAAAATCCTATAATGAAGGTTATTCTTACTAAAATTGTCTCTTTCATTCTAATTAGGACTATTGTTCACGTTGCCAGAGACAGAAAAAGATACAACAGAAGACGAAGAAGAAAACTGACAATACTAATCCTAAAATCCAATCCCAAAATACCTTTATTTTACTCTGTGGATGTTTTCTTTTTGTTTTCAATTTGTTTTTTATTTAAATTAGAAATAAGCTTGTTTTACATGTCAATCCCACGTCCCTCTCTCTCCCCTCCTCCCCTGCCCCCTACCAATCTTATATCCCATCCCCTTTCTGCTCCCCAGGGAAGGTGAGGCATTCCATGGTGACCTTTAAAAGTCTGTCACATCATTTGGAGCAAGGCCTAGGCCTCCCCTGTGTGTCTAGTGTCTAGGCTGAGAAAGTATCCCACTATGTTGAATGGGCTCCCAAAGTCCATTCGTATACGATGAATACTGATCCGCTACCAGAGGCCCCATAGATTTCCCAGGGCTCCTAACTAACACTCATGTTTAGGGGGTCTGGAACAGTCTTAGGCTGGTTTCCCAGCTATCAGTCTGGGGTCCATGAGCTCCCTCTAGTTCAGGTCAGCTCTTTCTCTGGGTCTCTCCAGCCTGGTCTTGACCCCTTTGCTCATCACTTCTCCCTCTCTGCAACTGGATTCCAGGAGTTCAGCTCAGTGTTTAGCTGTGGGTGTCTGCTTATGCTTCCATCAGCTACTGGCTTAAGGCTCTAGTATGACATATAAGGTAGTCATCAATCTCACTTTTGGAGATGGGCATTTAAGGTAGCCTCTTGACAATTGCTTAGATTGTTACTTGGGATCATCCTTGTAGATCTCTGGATATTTCCCTAGTGCCAGATTTCTCTTTAAACCTATAATGGCTCCCTCTGTTAAGGTATCTCTTTCCTTGCTCTCCTGTATTCTTCCCCTGACTAGATCTTCCTGCTCTCTCATGTCTTCCTCTCCCCTCCTCTTCTTCCCTTCTCTTTCTCCTAACTCCCTCTCCGCTCCTCCGATGCTCCCAATTAGCTCAGGAGATCTTGTCCCTTTCCCTTTCTCTGGGGAACTATGTGTGTCTTTCTTAGGGTCCTCCTTGTTTCCTAGCTTCTCTGGCAGTGTGGATTGTAGGCTGGTAATCCTTTGCTCTATGTCTAAAATCCTTATATGAGTGAGTATATACCCTGTTTGTCATTTTGTGACTTGGTTACCTCACTCAGGATGGTTTCTTCTAGTTCCATCCATTTGCCTGTGAATTTCAAGATTCCATTTTTTTTTCCCACTAAGTACTCCATTGTGTAAATGTACCACATTTTCTTTATCCATTCTTCAGTTGAGGGGCATCTAGGTTGCTTGCAGGTTCTGGTGGCATCATGTTGATCTTTCTGTTGTTGACTTTGTTCTTATACTGTCGTCTTCCCATTCCTTCTTCAACTGGGTGCCGGTTGGTTTTCTCCCTCTCTTGGTGGCTAAGGGACCAAAGTTGACTTCTGATGGTTGCAAGCAGGTCCAGTACTCAGATGGCTCTCCTCTTCCCGTTGGTGGAGGCAGGACTAGTACAGATGTTGGCAGACTCTGGATGGGCTGTTCTGTCGGGATGGGTTTCCCCTTGTACAGTCCCCAGGCCTCAGGAGACTCTGAGCAGGGCACTGGAAGATGGGCTAGAAACAGGCCCATGCTTACCTCCCACTGTGGATATTTGCATCAAAATTCTACTCCTTCATATGTTATTTCTATTGTAAATGCATTTAACTAGTTGGCCATGAATTAGTACTTTCTTACAGACCACATGTATTAACAAACTCCTTCTCTTTAACATATCACTTATCCCAGGTTATTTTAATTATATTTTAAGATGTAACCTTGTAGGTTGGGGGCTTGAAAAATGGACAGCCTTAAGAGTGGCACATTGACATGCTGATGTCAGCATCAATCTGAGAACAGATATCTGTAACATGAATAATATAAACCCAGAGACAAATATTGGAGTTCAAGCTGAAGATCAAAAGAACAAAGTAGCCAGCAATTTGCTCTTACTTCTACCAAGGCTGAAATGGAGATCCTGTCTTCCCTGTGACTGGAAACTGAATGTTAAATGAGATCCTTTGGTTCTTCCTTGTATGCTGGGGTTAAAGGCATGAGCTCTGATATTCTTTTATACTGATTCACTCTCATGTAGCCCTGGGTGGTCTTGAACTCACAGAGATCCATCTGCCTCTGTCTCCTGGGATTAAAGGTGTGTGCCACCACTGACCAGCTTCTATGGCTAACTAGTGTGGCTAGCTTTGCATTCTGATCTCCAGTGGCTTTATTAGATAATAAATAATATATGACCATAGATATCTTTCTGACTCTTGATCATCTTAGGCACCCAAGGCCCAATGTATGGAAAAGCATCCATTGTGCGTTTCTGAGGGAACACAGCTGTTTTGAAGTCCTGCCCCAAGCAGCTCACCAAAGTACCACCCAGGATCTGTAACCAGAGAGTGGAAGAGACCAATCTCCAGATACAGATATGGCCTGTTTCTCTCGGGGATTCTCTGAGATATTGCCTGCACCAGCAACCTTTGTTCCCCTGAATTTTTGCCTCTCACCCTTCCAAACTTTCTGTTTCTTCGCCTGCAAGCCCTGAGCTTTCCCAGGTCCATCCTTGTCCTTTCATGTCCTTGGGGCACACTCCTTCCCTCCAACACCTGTTTTCTACTCCTGCAAGCTTCCAATACACTCATTTCCTCCTCCCCTATAAAACTCTCATTTGTGGTTGTCAATATTTGCATTTTCTTGTGTTTGTCTGTCTTTGTCAGTTCACTGCAGCAAGCACTGAGAGAACACAAAGGAAATTTCCCTTTGTTTCTATATATAAAAAAATGGAGTGAAATTTGTATTGGCTTCTCCTCCAGTCACTCTCAGAAGTGATTTATGCTACTTATCAACTGAGAGTACTAATTTCCAATTGTCATTTCTACTCCTATGTTTATGATGGGCAATTACAAATCCAAACAGCTAATTTTTCTATTTGTGCAAAGAAATATGCCTGTAACTTATTTGACAAATTTGCAAAATGCTGAAAATTGTCTTATGGGGACTCTTTTCATCTGGTTGTTGCTAGAATGTCTTTATAAGCAATGTAACCATTAGTTGCTTTTTTTTTTTTTTAAGTGTGTGTTTCATTGTTTTTTTTTTTTAAAATACACAGCCATCTCATTTGACTTATTTATTATTTGTATTTAAAATTTTTCTAATTAATTTATTTGTGTATATGGATGTTTTACTTGCATATCTATCTGTCTGCATACCATGCATGTGCCTGGTGTCATAGGAGCCACAGGATTCCCTAGAGCTGGAGGGATAGGAGGTTGTAAGCTGCCATGCAGATGATGGGAATCAAATCTGGGTTCTCAGCAGCCTGTGCCCTTAACCACTGAGCCATCTCTCCAGCCCCTATTTCATTTTGATGAAATGTCAGCTAAAAGCAAATAAAATGCCAATGTCAAGAATAATTTTAAAGAGTAATAGAGTGATTGAAATGAATTTTAAATTTGGTGAAGATTTTTCATGAGAAGATTTAAATGTGATTTTTTCACTCTGAAAAAAAAAAAAACCCGCTTGATTCGAATTATACAATTTTACAGACCTTCATTTGAACAGAAAATAAAATTGGTCCTGGATGACCTATTATTGAAGAGTCTGTGCATATGGGGATGTGTGTGTGTGTGTGTCTGTGTGTCTGTGTGTCTGTGTGTCTGTGTGTACATGTGTGTCTTTCTTCCTCTCTTTTTATACACTCCCAAAACCCACACAGGAAAACCCACTTTATCTAGTCTAAATAATAATTTTAATCCCTTCCTATAGAAAGATAGAACATGATTCTTTCTTACATATATGAAAGGAAATACTACATACTGTAGAAGATGGAATTTCTTGGCATCATTCAAATCCATTGTTCAAGACAGAAAATGGAGTACAGTCAGCAGAAACCCATGGGTTTTTGAATAAGAATGGGATTTTGTCTTTCTTAGCCTGTTACAGTATACACCAACTCCGGTGTTTATGAATTACATGCATTTTGAAGCACATAATAGGTTTCTGTTCTTTCTGAATGCTTGGGGAAATCACCAAAGCAAGATTTTAATGTTAGGGGAAGACCATATGTAGAATAATAAAACCAGTTACAGCTTCCTTTCTTTCTACATAATTTAGTTAAAAGAAGAAATTCTATTTAATAATATTTTAGTACATTAAAAGCAAGAGACTTCAGTCAATAAACTCTTGAGTTTGCTGAATTTCCCACATAATTCTGTACAAGAAAATATTCTCTATTTATTGAATGAATGAATGAGCAAAGTGGTATCTGTAAATTAAGTAAGATTAACAGAATAAAACACAACACCACCCCCAAAATTTCTTCAGTCTAAATATTATTATTTAGGGTAAAATAAAAATAAACCAAGAATAAACAATAATCTTTAAATGTAATACATAACTATAATAACTGAGTATTAACAAAAGTAGTGAAATTTAACCTCCTTCTAGTTTGTTTTTCATTTTTGAAAAAAAAAAAAAAAGCCATGCTTTGTAACCAGACTGTCTTCGGACATATGTATCCCAGGCTGGCCTTGTATGTTGGGGTTACAGGTTTATGCCACCGTGTCCAGCCAATTCCAAATTTTAACTTTTGTAGACAGAAGTTTCTGTCCTGCCTGGTCCTGTAGCTGTTAAGTCCCAAATAAAGACACAGAGGCTTAATTAATAATAAACTGTTTGGCCTATTGCAAAGGTTAATTATTAACAAACTCTTACAACTTAAATTAACCCTTAATTCTTACCTATGTTTAGCCACATGACTTGGTAACTTTTCTAAGTAAGGAATTCTCATCTTCCTCTGCGTCTGGCTGATGACTGCGTCTGCCTTTCCTCTTCCCAGAATTCTCCTAGTCTGGTCACCCTGCGTATACCTCCTGCCTGGCTACTGGATAATTAGCATTTTATTAAACCAATATGAGTGACAAATCTTTACAGTGAACAAGAACATTATCCCACATCAAACTTTATTTCTTGTAATTCCATCATTGGAGGTATTTTGAGTTACTTTTGGAGATAAATTGAACTATATCATGTAGAGTAGGCTAGCTCATAAATAATATTACTTTGGATTTTA